TGATCCTGACCGTAGTGTGCTCCCTTGATGATGATATTAGAGCAGATATGTCTGGATACATGCTGCGAGTGAGTTACAATTTTACTTTTCGTACTAGAAGATTAATCAACATATCCGACCTGTAATTGTGTGTTTAAAACGTAATTTTTTTTTAAAAACCTTTCAGACCTTAGATACCACATTGAATTGAACTAAAAATTATATCGCTTAACCTAATGAGTTGGCTGTCGCCCGTGACTCCGTCCGCGTGGAATTAAAAAAAACTGAATAACTAGCTTATGTGTTTTTCCAGACTATGTTCTATATTTGTCTTGACTTGCTTAAATTTCAGCCAGATCCGTTCAGCCGTTCCGGAGATAGCTTCAACCGAACTCCATCCATCCATCTAAACATACACATTAATAATATTAGTAAAATAAGCGTGAATATTATTTGCTATTTGTTTTGTAGGTATGGGGTGCCAAAGAATATCTAACAGCGGGCAGTTCTCTGAGCGAGTACGACTACATCCGCGAGTGCGTGCGCCTGGAGAAGGACGTGCGTCTGTTCCTGCACGAGGGCGGTGACTGCGCACTGGGCCGCGCTGACCGGGACGACGCGCGACACGCCCACCTCACGCTCGACGACCTCATGCCTGACCAGACCACGCTCAGCTTCGACAACCTCTCTATACTGCTCGGTCAGTCAACTATAAAGGGATTTACCAAGTCGTGAAACACATGCCAAATGTGATCAAATTAAAACCATGATTGTGTTCCTTTCAGAGACACTGGAAGGTGAATTATCTCGTGCAGTTGGTGTGGTGGGCGCAGAAGGGAGTTGCTCCCCGAAGGCGGTGTTCCAGGCGGTGAAGGCTATCTGCGCGCTCGCCGGTGGTGTCGAGACTTTGCACGTTACGTACACACTCAACGCCTTCGCGCAGGCCTGCACCGCACAGGTATCTACTACGTTATGTTGACAAGTACAATCGCGATAAATACTGTCTGAATACTTGCTTATCTTCACATAGAAACGGTATTACAGTCGAAGCAAGAAACTTCTATAAGCCAGAGTCATGGTCTGGGCGTCACATACGACCGCCATAAGCAAGA